ATGTTACTTAAACCTGTATTACATTAAAAAACGCAACTAAATACCTTAATAAAAAATAGTACATCATTTTATAACTTTTACATAAAAATGTAGTTTTTTATGTTAAAACTAATTTATATTCCCCTGACATTCATCAAACCATTGCTGCGATCCTTAGAATATATAAAACATTAAAATATTTTACAGTTTCTGGCTTATGAAGGAAAACAAAACATATTTTATTATTAGCATTAATATTTCAAATTTAATAACATCAACGTTTTATGACACACGTTCCATATTTATCTTATTTCTTAGTTTTATAAACATTATTTTCTAAGAAGTTTTTTAGTTTTTTTCTCTCTTAATGATATTTTCTTTAGATTTTAATATTTTTTCTAAGGATTGCTGCATGGTTGTGTTGTTTGTTTATTTATCATTACTTCACCTGCAGCATTTTGATACCCTCGTTTTTATAATAATTTTTACTTTAACACACAAAAAAAAATCTTCTTCAATTGCCACAAAATGACTTCGACAACTTCAACACACTGGTAATGCAAACAACAAACATCAACAACGCCAACAACTAACTATCTGCAACACACTTTTTTTTGTTATTTTACAACAATTCTTATCAAATTTAAATCTTAAAAATATTTCACAAGTATTTACGATTACGAAGTACATGAAATGAAGTAAAATAAAAGAAATGAAATTGAAATGAAAAGTACGAATTATTGTCGTATCATATCATGTGTGGAGTGCATTTGTAAGGAGTTGTCATTGCAGACATACTAAAGCTCAATAAAACAGTGTAGAAAAAAAGTAAACAAACGCTTCAATATAGAAGTAACTAATATTAATAAAACACAAAAATATTTTTTTAAAAACCAAAAGTAAGTTTTGTAAGAATCTCCTTAGTTGTAGTTGAAATATACATATGTCAACTTTTGGTATGCACTGTTACATTACTTATTCGCCTTGTAGTGGAAAATATTTATTTTGCTTGAATAGTTTTGCGAATAATACCAGATGAGAGAGATTTGTTCTGTGTTTTTTTAATTTTATTTTTATTTGTTGCATGCTGAAGTAAACTCAAATAATGCAAAATTATTTATGCTACTCGGTGTTTAGCCGCAGGACTCACAAGTTTATGAATCCAATTGTAAATTTTTTTTAAGATAAATATGTAATTTAGATGAGTTCATAGGTGAATGAGAATTTGTTTTTTGTTGGTGCAAATGGAAATGTTATTTCCGGTATTTAAATTTTGGATTTTAATATGTTCTATAGTAGAGGATGTATTAAATAAGTTGTTGGTTAAATCTAAAAGTAGGAAATGTGGTGGTATTTAGGATTTTAATGTTAGCAATAGCCCTGCCTATATATCTTGTCTCTAGCAGATAATTCATAACAAATTCGCAGCTAAACCGAGAGCAATTTTCGTTAAAAACAAAGAAAACAATATGTTAATTCTAAAAAGTAAGTACTTACATAATATATTATTTGTAAGTCATTACTAGACTCCTTCTATGTAATATAAATATAATTGAGCCAATTAAAAATCATTAGATATTTCTCAAAATTAGCCTTAATCTGAATAAATGGAAACAAAAATCGCTGGAAAATGAACTAGTTCGACAACAGTTATAGGGAAAGTGTATGTATAGATTCTCTAAAGATTCCCAAGGAAAGAAATTCGAACAAAAATCATTTATTAAAAAACTAGTTCAAGAACCGTTTCCTAGAACGAGTGAGAACTCCATATCGAGTCCACAGAACCAGTTCTGAAGATTACAATTTCAAATAAAAATCATTCGTTTCAACGGCAAACTAGAGTGTACAGGCTAAATCATTTATTCCAAAACTAACCTGAAAAAAAAGGAACTTCCAAAGAAGCGAAAAAGAAGTAGAATTTACTGTATGGACGTACTGAAAAATAAAAGATTATTTTAACATAGACTTGTCCTTGGAGCGATGTCCTTTTTATTTGATTCCAAATTTACTACTTCTGAAGTCATTCTCAAGAAGTAATTTTTATTTTCTTTTTTGGAAGTTATTTGGAAGTGATATTGTAGTATTATAGAATACTAATAAGAAATTTGTTGTAGATCAGCTATACAAAGTTTAGAGATCTGCATGCTCTAATAACTAGTCCGTCAGAAGATCTGAACACTATATTACACATCCTACCTATAGATCTACATATTATGGCCATGTCTGCCATCCGATTATATTACCCAGAATTCCTTTCAATAGCGAATGGTGTAGGGGTAACCTACCGAGCACATATGCCACCAAAATCTTTACAGATGGTTCAGCTTTTAAGGTACCTTATGACTTCAATATTCGCGGCAACATAGAAATTTTTGTAGAAAGTCAACCGGCATTTCTCTCACTAAATTCGTATACTTCCACTTCTCTAATAGTTAGACAATGCAAGAAAGATCTGTCAAAGCTGGGTCGCATGTCTGACATTACCCTTGTTTGGGTCCCTGTGCATAAGGACTATTGTGGAAATGAACAGGCAGATAAGCTTGCCAGAAAGGGATCTGCTCTTGATATCTCCAATGCCGTTTCAGTAGCAACCCTGTTAGGTTTTATCAAGAGTAGTATCCTCAGATTTTATCTTCAAAAGGCTGAAAATAGGTGGAATAACCTAGACACATGTAAAGTGGCCAAGATATTGTGGCCTTTCTTCAATGAGAAACGCACAAGACTCTTTATAAACCAAAGCAGATGGGATATATCGAGACTGATAGCAGTTATAACAGGACACTGGATGCTAGGAAGACATGAAAGTCTTCTTGGGCTACTCTTCAATGTATACTGTCGTCTTCCATATTCTCTGCGAATGCACTGCTCTATCGGTTAAAAGAAACCGTTTTCTTGGAAGTTATTTCATATCTAAACTTGGTGAGATATCTGGATCTAAGCTTAATGATATCCTTTAAGTAAAATTCACTAAAAATTCAAATTTTTACCAAAAATATTGTTTTACTAAATTTTTACGCCAACAACTTTTGACATTGCTTATTAAATAACTAAAACATATTTAGATAAACTAGCTTAATTTAAAATTCCATATTAGAATTTAGTGCTTTTTTTAGTTTGTCCTTTAGCTGTTATTTATAAAGTTGTTTAAATATAGTATAGAAAAAGTACCGTTGAATGGTTTAAATAAATTGTTTTAGGGTTGTTATTTAGTAGCAAGTAACTTGTTGTTATTAAAACATTCCATGACTTTTTGTTGTTTTAATACAAACATTTGTATTACAACCTAAATCCCTACAAACAGGATATGAAAGTTGAGCTTTAAGGACCAAAATAAAAAAGGAGAAGTTCAACTAAAACTAAATATGTATACACTTAAAAGGCAGTGCAGTAAAGGTATTAAAACTTTTGCAGTGTAAATAATTAAAAAAACAGGAAACTTTGTTGTGTTATTTAAGGTCCTTTTACAATACAACCCTTTTCGTTTCATTAAAATTCAAGAAAAATTTTGATTTTTAAAGTATGTAAATAAATTTTGTGAATTAATTGTTTTAGTCTTCTGTACTTTTCAACACTTAAGTAAATCCCTGGCAAACTAAATAGTATAAAATAAAAATCTTTATTAAAAAAATAAACCAACTAACTCCGCTTATGAAAAATTCTCTATGTTGTTTTTTATATGCAAAGCAGATTGTTGATGTTGTTGCTTGGGTTTTTTTATATTTAAAAATATATAAAACCGTTTGAGATTTGACATTTTTTCTGTCATTTTATATATGATATAAAATCATGACTTTTATGTTTATTCTACACAAATGAGGTGTGATAAAGATCTTGGCATAAAACAAACATCGTCACATATGAACATAAGTTTTTTTTGTTAACTGCAAATGGAAAAACTAACACACGGAGTTACATAGAAAAATAGCTGGAAATTTTTTTTTTTACTTTTTTAAACCATTATAGTTTAAAGTAGAAAATTATTATGGAACAAAAAACTGAACAATTTTCAAATTAGTTGTGTTGTTGTGAATTTTGTTACGTTTCTGTCATAAATTGAGCCAAATTTATGGTTTATTACGAAAACTTTGCACGTTTCATGTGTGTTGTCGATTTTATTTTTATTAAAGTGTTAATTATGGGTTGTATTTTCTTTGTTTAGCAGCCTTATTTGCTGCTTACCGTGTGTTTTTTTTTAAGCGCCTTTAATTTATTCCTCTATTACACATTTCATTTGCTGGTTTTTAGCAACAAAAACCAGGCGGCATTTTTCACAGGAAAAACAAAAAACAAAACTATATATTTATTGGTAAAATACAAACTATTTTTTTTATACAAGTTTAAATTTATGCCAATAAAATATGTTCGTAAGTCTTGCAACAGCCTATAAATACTAATGAATGACAAATTATGATTACAAATTGTGTCAAAGACACCGACCACCAATGTTTGGTTACGTTGAAGGAATGAATGAATGAAATGTATCTATCTAATCCATAGTTAAACAAAGATTATTTGAATATTTGTTTAAGAATATTTAGTTATGTTAAGCACGAAGAATTTTGACAATTATTTATTACTCATTAGCTTTTTAATTTGAATAAGTTTTTAATTAAACAAATGTAAAATTTTTTTGGTTAAAATTTTTAAAAGTTTGGTTATATAGAAAATAGGTCTTGGACAATGTAGTAGCAATTAAAGTAACTACATTTTAAGGAAACTACATTTTAAGTCATTTCTCAACAAACAGCAAATAAATTGTTATCTTTGTTGTAATAATTTGTTCATTTTTCAACTTCCTCCATTGTAACAAAAATCAAAACATTTCTAAATTATCTACACACAAAACAAAAAATTCAATTTCGCTAAAAAAAGACGATAAAATCTCAATCATCAATCAATTTATGTTCATTGCTTAAGCATTTTCAATTTAATTTTTCAAATCATTGTAAAAAAAAATCATAATTATTTAACTTAAAATCATGTTTTTAATTTTATTCCTCACTCTTTTCATATCTTTATAGATAAAAAAATATATAGAGCTGTGACATGAGACAGACAGACAACCCGCAAATATGTGTGAAGCATGAAAACTCAGCACACAAGTCTAACAATTACAATCATCAATATTGAAAAGCAAAAAAAAAAAGAACAGAAAATATTCTTACATGTCAACCAACAACATTCAGACATACAAAGGTTGTGTTAACTTCAACGTAAATAGAAACAGTAACACGCACTTTTGAGATAAAAATACTATGAAATACGAAATATGTAACAAAAATATTTACAAATAATTTGCTAAAATTAGGAAATTAAAGCAAAAAAAATAACAGCAATATGTTAAAACGCACCAAATCAAATCGTTCTCAAAGAACGAGCAGAAGGCCCTCTGGTCATAATGCCGCAAATAGCGGTAAATTGGGTTCGCAGCACCAGCAACGTTTGGAGGTGGTCGATGATAAGAGGTGAGTTTAAAAATTCCTGTTAGAAAAATTTTAGAATCACCCACAAATTTACGTAAATCAGTCTACCAAAATTTATAACGATAGGCCATATTAATCCCCTGCCCCCATATAACCCCTACTTTTAGAAAATCTCTTTTGACACCCTTCGTGAGAAGGAGAGAAGCCATGTCTGTCAGTCTGTCTGTTGAAAACAATTTTCTGAAGACCCCAGATATCTTCGGGATCCAAATCTTCAATATTCTGTCAGAATGCTTTCTGTAACATTCCTATTTAAAATCAACAAAATCCGTCTATAAATATCGGAGATATGAGCAAAAATCCAGGACAAGCTCTGAAAATGCCATAAAAAAGAAAATTTTTTGCATGATTTGACAAAAAAGTAAAACAACATACGGTCGGCCATGACCGACTATATATTCTTACTTGTTATACCCTACAGCACTATAGTGGGTAGGGTATTATGCGTTTGTTCTGATGTTTGTAACACCTAAAAATATTGGTCCTACACCCACCTTTTAGACCTGAGAGTCTGTCGTCACTGTCATCTAAGGTCACTCTGTCCTGTTTGGTCAAGAACTTGTCCAGTTTGTCTACCTCAGTAGCATGTTCGACTAGCAGACCCGGGGTATTTGTCCGTTTAATCGCAGTCACAGTAGTTTATACCTCTACCACAGATATGAAAAATGACACTGCCGCTTCCCAGGAGTCAGACGCATCCTGGATTTTGTTTCAACCAAGAACATTCGAACTAACAGAACCAGTTTGTACCTTACAGCCACCTTTAGCATAGGGAACAGACGCTAGAGAGGTACGGTTATGTTGCCTAGGTGACCCAAACCACAGACCTGGACCGACATCGAAAAGAAAAACGACAGAGGAAAGGTGGGAATTTGGTAGCCACCTTAACTAAGGGAACAGACACTACCAAATTGAGGTCATGATCGCTAGGCGAGCGAAGACGCTGTGAGGTATGGGAAGGGCAGTTCTTAATTCACATCCTTAGGATGCTTAAGCCCCTGCACCGTACCCGAAGACTCAAGGTGACTACCCAAGGACGAAACCTATTGAAAATGGTTAAAATCGGTCCATTATTTCGTATATCCATCATACAACCATACTCCCCGAATAGGGCTTTTGAACTCATGAATATGTTAAATGTTCCTGTATCACTTCAAAAATCTACAAAACTTAGTTTTATATAAGTTTTTATAATACTGCTGATATACGTAATGATTGGGCCTCAAATGACCCTATCCACCATACTAAGTTCCCTTCAGAAAATGACTTGATGGTCAAAATTCACTTATAAACACGGTGATATTCTGCATAAATAGTTGATGTAGGCGTAAATATTTCTACCAAAATGTATAGTGATAGGACCATGTTTACCCGTTGCCCCCATATAACCCCTCTTTTAGAATATTTATAAGAAAAACTTAAAATTCCCAAAATCAGCTCAAAAATATCCTTAAATTTTACGAAAATCCTCAAAACCCTCTGTGCACAAATAAAACATTAAATCCCCAATTTGGGCACAAATTCCCAAATCTGGAGACAGTGGCAGCACCAATAAAGTTTGGTTGTTGCCTGTGATAAGAGGTGAATTTAAAATTTCGAAGTTAAACTATTTCCATGTGTGGCAATGCTAAATTTAAATGAATTTACCTTGGTTGTTGTCGGTGCTGAAAAATTAAGTTTTATATTTGATTCGAAGTGTCGGTTGGGTTAGTAGCTTCACTAGCCCCGAAGGCGCCATCTATATGTCACACACGTCTAGTTAACAGAATAATTTCAAAGTTTTTATTTTCGAATATTTGGTGTAAATATTCTGATAGTCAGTGTAAAATTAAAAAAAATAAAAAGTGTCTTTGATAAATTGTAAGCAGAGCATAGCATACAGATGTCTTTGAGTTTCCATAATGTCAAATTACATATGAAAAAAATTTGACGTTGATTGAAACCACTTAAAAATGTTTGCACAAATTGTCACTCGCTGTCACCTCATCATTCAAGTTGCTATGAGAGTTACTGCGAATAAGCAGATTTGGCTGTGCACCTCACACAAACACATGCAATTCTTATGGGACCTGGGCTGCTGCGTTTCCCTAGGGCGACTTTAATTTGGCGCAGCACATATAAAAAAATGATATTGCTGTGCACAGCTTGACGAAATTTCTGTGCACAGTAGGATGCTCTCTTCTGTCTTTTCGAGAGAATTTATTATATTTTTTTTGCAAACAAAAAAAAAAATGCGCATCTTTTATAATTGTGATAAATTACATAAATTTCGTTGCTAAGTACTTACTTAGTAAGTAAAATGATTATACAATATACATATGTATATGTTTGTATGCCTGTGGCCTACTGGGCAGTTCGACAAAGGAGTCAATGCATCCGAAAAAGACAGTGATTTCCATTAACGCTAACACCACTTGGTTGGCTCTATATCGTCTTTCTTCACGGATGTACTCTTTGTAAACGAGACTGAAGACAATCGTCCTTTAGTGTCCCATGGGTGACGATTGACTTCCTCGCAGGACAAAATAGCTAGTCACCTGGACACTCGATGGCTAGGGGTAACCCTAAACTATAGGTTACGTGTTAAGCTTAAAATCCGTTGTCAATAGTGAGCTTACCACGTTTGTTAACTTTTAGACAACGGATGTGCATAAAATTTAAATTGCGACAACGAATTGTTGTCAACATTACATGTTGTTGTTGTATGTATGCATATACTTGACAACTGATGTTATTGAAAAATTTGGTGTCAATTTGCTACCAGGCGTCAATATTTTTTCCCCTCTATGCATGTGTACCAAATTTTTGCAAATCGAAGAGGGTAATGTGCGAAGCTGGTTTGAAATATTTTAAAATTTTAAAAATATTTTAAGTTTTTCATCACATATTTTAAATTCCATATTTGTAACGCAGTTCTGAATTATATCAATATAAATTGGCAGTTTCATTCTGCACACACCTGTTGAACTTAACTTAAAAACTGTTTAACATTCAACTTCCGTTAAACACCTGGTTTTTGTTTGATAAAGCTTTATTTTGTAGTTAAAAAATATATGTATGTAAACTTTTGCCTTATTGGATTTTCACTATTAATACGAACTAAAATTAGTATGTCTCCACATTTTTTACTATCATATAAAATGCTAAAAAGTTCTACTGCAAACCAAAACAATGGATCTAGATTAGTAAAACTTTATTTATATTTAGCAGAGATTATCTCTTATAGGCGTTCGTAAGTTTACATAGTATAAAGAACAAGTAAATTAATAAGAGTAAGAAATGAGCTCTCTGTCGATCCCTGAATTGGAGAGAGAGTTTGATATGATATGCATATTTTATCTTGACATTGTTTTGATAATATCTTTGAGCAGATAAGAAGATCGAGATCAAGAAATAGAATCAATTCTTTAATTCGACCGAAGAATATTTCCCACAACCATACACTATCGATTTCAGAATATTCTTGTATTTAATTTCTAGAATTCTTTAGATATCATAGAAGATGTACCATTTCCTCATCTTACGATATATAATATATCGCTAAATTATTTTCCAATTGGAATAAAATCTTAGGTCAATGAGTTTTCCAGATTTTTCCTACCGAGCGCGTCCCCGGGTGGCGGATAGGGGGTGGTGATGGACCATCTGTCCTCTCCCAGCTTTAATTTCACTTAAGCTGAGGGAGGGCAGATTGTCCACCACCTGGGAATATTATATTCCCCGCGGACCAAAAAACTGGAAAAAAAAAAAAAACAAATATGGAAAATAAAAATAAAAAGATAAAAGTTACGGTGCAGGGCCTAAATAACCCAGTACCGGCGGCAAGTGTTGATCTACTCGCGAGTCACGTGTCGTCGTCATCCTGCAATCGTGAGCAGAATACTACTACGGAGGTGGGTACCTTGGCCTCCGTGGCGGACAATGCGTCAAGTGTACAGCATGCCGCTGGCAAAAATATAGGGGTGAAAGAGAAGGATGTACTCGGAGAGAGCTCTAAGCTACCTCAGCCTTTAAATATAGGTGAGGGTTCCGACTCTGAATCCTCAGATGATAATAATAATAATACCATTATAGCAAATCCCAAAAAGGATGAAGTAGAGCAAATGGTGAAAGAGGTGAGTGATAGCATAGCTAAACTACCTATTACTAAGAAAAGACTTTCTGGAGCACAGAGGAGGAAGTTGAAAAAGATGCTTCAGGAAATCATAGTTAGTCAATCCCACGACACTCCAAAGGAATCGGACTCTCTCACAAGATCTGAGGCAAAAAGGATCAGGTCACCCGAGGAGTTGACAACTGAGAATAAGCCTAAGAAGAAAAAGAGCTCCCCGTCTTCTAATACACAGTCGAAGCCAAGCCATACTTCACTCAAAGGAATCTCAAGTGAGAATCCTGCGAGTAAGGGTGACAACGCCAAGCCAGATATTCCGAAGACGAACACGTCGGCGAAATCAACCTCGAAGGTAAGGGAATCTCAAAAGAAGCCCCGAAAAACGAGGAAGGAGAAGCTAGACGGAGGAAAAGGTAAAGAGCCGCCATCTTACGCCAAAGTTGCCAGAAGTAGGCACCGGGACGATCTCTGCTATGCAGTTTACGATGCCGGTAATCCGACAGGCAAAATTCCAATAGACCAACAGAGTAAAATAGAAGACCTGGTCAACAATAAGATAGTGGACCATGCAATAGCTTCAAAGGGCAAACAACCAATAGAGAGCGAGAGCTGCGAGTTCAGCATGGGCGTGATGTTGATGAGGTTGGCATCTCACCAATGTGTTAGCACCCTAAAGAACTTGGTGGAAAGTATCCCTCCTCCCTGGGACGGCGCTAGGCTGGGACTGGCAAAGAAGAGCGAGCTTCCGGTGCTCCTAAAGTCCACTGTCTACATAAAAGGATGGGGCAGTAAACTGGCTAATGAACGTATACTGGAAATTCTTGGAGGTCAAAATGCTGAGCTGGCCGTGGAAAAATGGGATGTCTTTTAC